GAGAAATCTCTTGTAGAGTTGTAGTACTACAATATAATTCACTGCTCCCACCCTCACAGTCACAGTCTCTCAGTCTCCGTCCCCATCAAAATTTTCAAAATTCTCCCCAACAATGGCTGTCAAATCAGCTCTGGTTTTCTCAATTCTCCTTCTTCTCTTCGTTAGCGTTCTAACAACGTCGTTTGCTTCAGAAACGGTGGAGAAAGGAAAAGGCTCTGAAGTAGAAGAAGATGAGGATCTCAGTTTTCTGGAAGAAGACGACGCCGCTTCGTCGTCCCATCACGATCCCTATGCTCAGTACCACAACTACGAGAACTACGACGATCTCGAAGACAACGATTCAGGTGCTGCCGAGGACGGCGGTTACGACGCGTACACGCCGCCTGCGGTTGACGAGGCGGACGTCGTGGTGTTAAAGGAGTCCAATTTCAGTGATTTTATAGCGAAGAATAAGTACGTCATGGTGGAGTTTTACGCGCCTTGGTGCGGTCATTGCCAGGCTCTGGCGCCGGAGTACGCAGCCGCGGCAACGGAGCTGAAGAAGGAGGAGGAGAAGGTGGTGCTGGCTAAGGTGGATGCTACGGAGGAGAGCGATTTAGGGCAGAAGTATGATATTCAGGGCTTTCCTACAGTTTACTTCTTCGTCGACGGCATTCACACACTTTACCCCGGTCAACGTACCAAGTAAGCGTCTTTCTTTGTTGAATTTCTGGAGTTTCTTAGTTAGCATTTATTCTTTGATATCCTGATGGTGAAATTATTGGAAAAGTGTCCTGTTATTAGGTTAGCAATTCTGTCGATTAAAGTGTAGCTGATAATTTGATCAATGGAAGTAGTTGGAGACTTTTGAGTTCTTGAATTATCATTTGGTTTGATGATTACCTATAGTAACAAGCATGCAGATTTAGTCAATGTAATAGCAGTCCTCATCAACCCGGCTAATGCTCTGATGGGTCCTGCTTGGGGAAGTACCTGGCTTATAGCTTCGATACTCTCCTAACGTTGATTCGGTTTTGCCTGGTCCATTCCTGGTCCCTGATGATTCTAATTGTACATGAAAATCATTGGTTTTTATCAATAATGTAGTGAAGACTAGAAAATGCAGTGTGGTGGTGTTCTTTAATTCGTTGGAATGTCTTGGTCAAGAGTGCAGAAGAACGCAAATCATTTGTAATCCCATTGTTCTTTTTGTTTATGTGAATATCCAGATGGTCTCTTACCTGAAATTTGTGATCCAGAGAAGCTATTGTGACTTGGGTGAAGAAGAAGATTGGCCCTGGTTTAAACAACATTACAACAGTCGAGGAAGCAGAACAAATCTTGGCTACTGAGTCAAAGTTGGTTTTGGGATTTTTGGATGCCTTTGTGGTAATTTCACTAGTTAGCCTTGCAAATCCTCAGTTTTTGTTTTCTAGTTTGCTTTTTTATTCACCAATTTTATTGCGTGAGTTTGCTTTTTGGAATTTGACAAGCTTTTAGTAATTTTGAGAACTTTCTTTTTCCTTTTTACGGAATATGCTACCTATCTCAATCCCTTTCTTTATGTTGGAATTTTCAAGTTGACATTTAGAATTTGAAATTTGAAGGGTTAATTTGGAAAGTCACATATTACCCATAATTAGCAAGTGAGCTTCCAACTTTACTTGTTAGTTTCAGGTTATTCATAAGCTTCTATGCTCTGATTCCTCATTTTAATTTGCAATTTTGCTTGATTTCTTAAGGTTTTGAATTTTTTAAAATTAAGGATATCAATGGCTAATTCTGGTCAATTATTCGTTATCTTATTGACAATGCCTTTGATGTAATTTTCAGGGTGCAGCCAGTGAAGAATTAGCTGCAGCTTCAAAACTTGAAGAGGATGTCAATTTCTACCAGACTACCAGCTCTGACGTAGCAAAACTTTTCCAAATTGATCCCCAAGTCAAGCGCCCAGCTTTGGTGATCATCAAGAAAGAGGATGAAAAAATAAATCACTTCAGTCAGTTTCTAGACTTTTCTTTTTTTGAAAATTAAGAGTGAGTGTGTAATTCCTTTCACTGAGTTTCTTGCTACAGGTGGTCAGTTTACTAAATCAGCAATAAGTGAATTTGTTTACAAGAATAAGTTTCCCCTGGTCACAAACTTTACTCGGGATAGTGCCCCACTGATATTTGAGAATCCAATCAAGAATCAGGTGATACATTTGCTCGTGCTAGTTTTCCATATTTGGATTTTTACTACTACGCTTTTGCTCACTTGATGTATTTTTGTTTCTAGTTGTTACTTTTTGCAACTGCAAATGATTCAGAGAAGTTCCTACCCACATTCCAAGAGGCTGCAAAAGCTTTTAAAGGAAAGGTAATTTGCTTAATAAATTTTGATGATATACCATAAGCATCTGGTGACACATAGTTTGTGAAAGTTTGGAAGTGCACTTGCCTCAGATAAAACTGTTCAATCGATGACATTGGATGTATCATTTCATCATATTTCTTTTTGTCTTAACAGCGTTGGGGCATCCCCTTCTGGTTAATTATTTAGTAAAAATGGTTTCAGATCTCAAGGCCCTTTAAAAACTGAAACTAAAATTGTAACAGCAGAGAATATATTGATCGTGTTAAATTCATTTTCATGCAAATTTTAACATCTTATGTTTGTTAGTCATTTTTTATCATGGTTTTTATGAGTAGCATTTGGGTATATTTGCAACATTTCTGATAGAGGAAAGCATCAAAATTACCATTTGGTGTGATAAACATTGAAAACTTCACACTTCAAAAAGATTTTGCTACTTGCGGCTCTACCCATTCTTGGATCTAAGCAATTTCTTTCATGTCACAAGTTCTAGGCTCGTTCTTTTCCCCATTTACATCTGATTGTATTATCACCTCATGCTTATTGATTTCCTGTTGAAAACTTGTCTTGGCAATTTTAAATGGAATGAGTACTTGCTCTGCAGCTTCTATGTGTTTACGTAGAAATGGACAACGAGGATGTTGGGAAGCCTGTTTCGGACTATTTTGGTGTGCAAGGAGATGCACCAAGAGTAAGCCTCCCTCCAGTATATTTTGGTTCCTGTCATTTCCTGACAGAATTAGTTGATCATTTTTAAAGTGAGACTTGAATACAGGTTCTCGCATACACAGGAAATGAGGATGCCAGGAAATTTTTATTGGAAGGTGATTTGACTCTAAGCAACATTAAGGTTTGTTAACTCGTTCATGAAATTCTTAAGATGAATATATTGGTTTGGCAATAAATTGTTCGATACATTAAATCCTTAATTTCAACAGATAAGCATTTGCATTCCATAGTTTATTCTTTTATGCTGTATGAGCATGCAGTTATTCGGGGAGAAGTTCTTGGAAGACGATCTTAAGCCTTTCTACAAATCAGATCCAGTTCCAGAAAAAGTAAGTTTTTTCACTCAGATTGCCATAAACTTGTATATTATTTAGAATATCTAGTTTAATCTCTCATTTTACTATTGATGCAGAATGATGGGGATGTCAAAATTGTGGTTGGCAAGAACTTTGATGAAATTGTTCTCGACGAGTCCAAAGATGTTCTTTTAGAGGTATCAATTTCCCTCTATTGTCATTTTTTTTGAGCGAAAAAAAAAAAAAAAAACTGTTGACCTGTTCCAAAGGTCTCTTGTGATGACTTCTATATTCAAAACTAGATATACGCTCCCTGGTGTGGGCATTGCCAAACACTCGAGCCTATCTATAACAAGCTTGGCAAACATTTGAGGGGCATTGACTCGCTTGTTATTGCCAAGATGGATGGGACTACAAATGAGCACCACAGGGCGAAGGTATCATCTTAACAAACGTCTATCCTGTCTCTATGTGGATCACTGGGATTATTTCTTTCAAACTAACTTAAAGCTTTCCAGTAACAAAAAGACTTGGCGGAACAATCCCTCAAAATTTATGAATACGTGATAATACTATGGATATTGACTGAGGTGTAGAATCATTTCATTTTTGTTCTCATTGTAGACTTTTCAAACTAATGTGTGGCTCTATGAATTCTTTTGGTTTGCTCGATTCTCTGTTCAAGCGTGACCAAACTTTCAGCTCAACAACCTCTTGTGCATTTCAGTAACCGTATGTGAAACAGTTTATAGCAGTAGGCTTTGGAGATGGGATTTGATTATTCGTTACTTGCAGGCTGATGGGTTCCCTACTCTTCTTTTCTTCCCGGCTGGCAATAAGAGCTTCGATCCAGTTAGTGCTTAGTTTAGGCTTTTGTTATGCTAATTTTAAAGTGTATTCTTTCGTTGTTTTTCTTTCAACCATACAGGCTAATAATGCTTGTATTCTACTCATGTTTTATACAGATTACAGTTGATACAGATCGTACTGTGGTGGGTTTCTACAAGTTCCTAAAGAAGCACGCAACCAATCCTTTCAAGCTTCAGAAGCCAGCCTTATCTACCCAACCTAAGGGTTCTGATGCCACCACAAGTGACGACAGTAGCAGTAAAGATCTCAAAGATGAACTTTAAGGTTTCGTACATGAGTTTGGTTTGCTGAAGAGGATACAATATCATGGCAATGTAGAGCAGAAGATTAGAGAAAGAAGATGGAAAAGGCACATGTAAGTCCTTTTATTAATGAAGACTAAAATTTTGTACCTTTTCCTAATTTTAAAAATTGTCTACAAATGTTTATTCTGTACCATAACAGACGTGATAATGTTTCCAAAGATTATACGATCTCATCTGGCTTAGGATGAGGCGAAAATCGTATCCCCGTCACAGCAGTCCCTGATTCACTTACAGGATTTTAAACCGCTCAACTGCAATGCCATCAATATTCTTGAAAGAACTAAATAAATGGTTTTAGTTGTTAACGTCCCAATGAACTGAATAACCAATTTGAAAAATCTTAATCCTATAGATGTCGAAAAAACAAGAAAATCGCTGGATTCTTTTGGATTACTTTTCCTGGACGGATGAAAGTGAAGGCATCCAAAAGTTGTGGAAAGACAAATACGTGCAGGAAAGTGTCAAGTAGTTCTCCAACCCAAGAACCTTTTTCTGGTCCATCTTTTGGGGAACGCCCAATCTGAATGACGGGTTACATTTCGCTCTCTGTGATTCTCAGATTGTTCCTCCTTTTTTTTTTTTCTCCCCGATGGGATATTCGGCAAACTTTTGAAGATTGTACAGACGCATTGCTGCTCGTACAAGATTATAGCACTAAAGAGGTTTTAAAAGTTGAGGTGCAATTTCGCTAATGCTTTCCAGATAATTCTTCCTAACATGGCGTCCAAAGGTAAATCTTGAAATTGTGTACTTTTATTTTCCCACCGGGGAGGGGAGGGTCATGAGCTGCAAACCTCACACTTTACTCTAGGTAAGGCTTGGTACTAATGGCCAGTTCTCTTTGCTCCTTGTGAGGTCTATCTGAAAAGATTTCTCGATAGATGATTCGAAGATATCTCACCCGCTGTAAAATGTTACGCGGCTTCGAAACTGGCAAACAGAAGAGCATGCTTGGCTTTGTGCTCCATCGCAGGTTCATGTGTTTACCTCCATTGCATTGCAGGCTCACGTGTCTACCTGAAAATTAAACCGGAGAGAACCTTACACCATATAACACACAAGTGCTACGAACCAACACAATGTGCATGGTGCATAAAAAGGAGAAAAATCTAACAACTATTAGTAAAACGATAAATATGAAAAACCTTAGACCCGATTGATGGTTTCAGACTCTCAACAAATGCAATATAAAAAAGGAATCAGTTGAGCTAAAACCACCACTAAATGCTCCAAGTACTCACACAGTGAAATTCATCGCTCTATTCCTGAAGGAAGGGGAGTACTGAACTTCAAACTCCCTAGACCACCATACAGGCTCATCTGACTCTACCGCTTGGCCATGATCCTTGCCCACTCAATAGTATATCTGGACAAATATCTGAAGAATATACAAGGACATATCTCCCGGGCTTCAGAGTTTCAGAAAGCTTCCTAGCCACTGCATACGCAATCCCGTTTGGCTTTATTCCCTCTTGCTGTTTCACACAGGCTGCTAATTTACCTTAAGAGCAAACCAGACAGAATCATAAACAATCTTACTCAGAGAAGATACCAGAGGAAATAACTTATAAAACTCACGAACAGATAACAAAACCTAATAACCTAACAAATTATTGCCAATTTCAACCACTCCAACATTTAATCTTTCGATCTTTTTTTTTTATTTTTTTAATGAGATATTCAGCAGTCTTTCAAGCATGTATTTGTACTAATGTTATCAGTCCAAATATCACATTATAACTTTGAATAACTTGTATTCAAGGATTATTCTTATTACTAGATGAGCAAAGTATTAAAAGTTCAAAACCATGAGACATGTCTGAACAGATTTCTCAAAAGATAACTTGAACATACTCAACAGCTATTAATTTTCTCAAAAGCTTTGAGCTCTGTCGTTGCTTCACAGGGTTGGACTGTTTACCTGAAGAAGAAAACCAGACAGAACCATAGTCCATGTTAGCTGAAGTATTATTAACCAGACAAACTATGCAATGCGTGGAAAAGAGACAAACCTAACAACCACAGGGGAGGTGGTGAAGAAAACCAAATCATTGGTGCATCCAAAATTTCCATGTTCTGCAGGCCTGCGAAGGTGCCAGATTGCCGTGTTGTTGTATCCCATAATCGTTTTCCAATAATCTATTTCAGTGATATCCTTTGCAGCATAAAACCTGCAGCTTCTACTGGATTCTCTACCATCTTCTTTTCATATCCCAAGATAAGTGCCTGATGAGTGCCTTCATCTGGACTGATACCCTGCTTGAACATCCATTCTACTAAGTTGCAGGCGTCATCAAGGTTGCCAACACTGCAAAAACCATGTATGAGTGTGTTATACAACACAAGATCTGGAACCAGCCCAATGTCGATCATTTTAGTAAAGAGAGCATTTGCTTCTGCCATCCTACGTGTCCTGCAGTACCCATTAAGGAGAGCACTGCACATTACAACATCAGGCTCCAAATTGTGCTCACTCATGTAATGCCACACAAAAAAAGCTTCTTCAAAGTTCCCTTTCTTCACATAACCGCTAGCAATGTTAGTAAAAGTTACAATATCAGGAGTAAATCCTCTTCTAGTGAGCTCATACAGTAAATCATGAGCCTCATTTACAAACCCTCTCACAGTAAGACTGTAAATGATTGTGTTATAGGTGATGTTATCAGGATAGACACCAGCAGACTTCATTATATCCAAAAGGCCAAAAACCTTGTGTAAGAGGCCCTCCTTTCCATAGCCATCCATTAGTGTGTTGTATGCAACAAGGTCAGGTGGCAAACCCTCTGTCATCATCTTCTGAAATAAGTTTTCCGCTACATGTACTTCTCCAGACCTACAGTAGTATTCAATAAGTGTTGTGTATGTGGCAACAGATGGTTCAACTCCACTCTTCACCATCTTTGCCAAAAAACTAAGGGCCATTTTCAGATCCTTCATCTTGCAGTACCCTGATATAATGGTGGTGTAAATAAAACAGTCAGGAACCAATCCCATCTCTGATATCTCGTAAAAAGTGCTAGAAGCAGCAGTCATGTTACTATCGTGACAGTACTTTGAAATAAAGCTGTTGTAGACATAAATATTAGGCGGCAGTCTAAATATCTTCAAGATATTGAAAGCTTTCTCCACTTCCCCCACCTTGCAGAGGCCATCAATGACTGAACTAACTGAAATGGAATCAAGAGATATACCAATCAAACTCAATTTAAACAACAAAGAGATTGCTTCTCTCACCAGTGACATTTTAGAAAGGGAATCAATCAATGTTGAGTATGCAACAATATCAGGACTAAATCCATGTTGCTTCACTGTTACCAATAGTTGCCAACCTCTTTCAACATTGCCTTTCACACAGTATTTATGAATAAACAAAGTGATTACAGACACATTTAAGCCTAACCCTTGACTCTGCATCTCTTCCAGGAAATTCCATGCCAATTCAAATTGGTCCATATATAACAATGCCCCAAGAAGTGAATTACAAACACCCGGTGAAGGAAAGAGTTTGATGTGTTTCATTTGACAAGCTAACTTGAGAGCCACATTTACCATATTTGCTCTGATATAACAGTCAATGAGCATGCTATATACAGTTTCTAGGACCGTTCTAATTGTATAGGTCTCGAGAAGGACTTGTAAAAGCAAGTTCGGCCACCAATCTTCCCCAGCATTCTTCCTTACAAGATAAAGTATTAAATCTACAGCTCTGTAATTCATGTTCCCAGCAACCAAGATATGTATCATCACGCATGTAGATCTAATTCCATGCTGTAAGTGCAGGTAATACTCACACCATTGAAAGAAAGCTAGAGCTAGAGCAGCATCTCCACTGCCCTCAAACAGGTCATTCAGAATACACACTATGTTATATTCAGCCAAAGGTAACCTTTGGCAACTGTCTGGAGATCCTAAAACCCATCCTCGATTCCTAAGTATGACTTTCATTCTTCCAAGTCCATAAACATCCATATCAGTATTTTGAGGATTTTCACAAACCAAGGAACTATCTTCTTGAATGCCAAGATGGTAAATGTCATCATCATCTCTGATCCCTTCAAAAGAAGAAGCAGACTTACTATTTTGTTCTATGCTGTCACTCTGCATGCATTTAGTACTTGTTGTAAGTTCCCGAGCTTCTATATCGACCAGGCTTTCCTCAGGTATGATTATTTCATCCTCAGAAGAAGAAAAATGTGTAGCGGACAAAGCTAAGTTCCAAGATGACAAAAGTCTGAATCTTTTCTCTAGACCTGATACCAACTTGATAGCAGCAGTGCCAAAGTTGACTATGGACACTGATGCTCTCATGAGCAGTCATTAAAACACCAACTTTCAGATAAAGTGTAAAACTTATCTATCATTTCAGGCTTGAAAACAATTTTACTGAAAAAGGGCAAATCCCAGGATGCTCCCCACAAATATTACTGAAAACAAGAGGATTTAAATCAAGTAGTTCTTGAAACATCCTGTCCCATTTCGGATATGAAATCAACAAACATACATGAACTACACACGCACCCCGGACGACAAATACCCGCTCCGATAATTCTTAATCGATTTTGGGATTGAAATGTCCTTAAGAAGCGAATTTATTGCAGCAATTCTTGGTCGGTAGAAATCAGAAGAGTCCAGCTTCAATGGAAGAAGAATAGAAATTTATCCCGAAACGAAAAAATAATTCCTTCCAACTTTGACAACTTTGACAGTTATAAGTTATTCTATAGAGTGCAATACCTGAGCTAAAATTAGCCGGATTATCAAGAGTATTGCTTAAGCACCAAAGCCCAAAAGCTGTTTCAGTAGCAGCAGGAGCAACGGCGACATTGGTGGATGTAGTTAAACTTGATACTGTAGTTTGAAAGAAAGAGTATGGTGGTGGTACCTATAGAATTAACCTGATAGGGAGAGGGGAGAGAGAGAAAAAACTACGTCTCAGCCAAGGACCGATTAATATAGTGTTGCTGCTGCAGAGGGTTGATCTAAGAAATCTTCAGAGAATCACTGGAGCCAGGAACAGTAGAGTTTTTTCTGGGTTTGGGAGGACTGGGGAGGAGGAGGAGGCTGGAAGGAGGGAAACGAAGGGATGCGGGAGGCGCTGGTGGAGTCTTGAATGGAAAGCAAGTGCGTAGATTTAGAATAGACTCCCTAGGAATTTCTCACTATTATATCTGTGCCCCCTACAGTTTTTCTATGTCCCAAATTTTCATCTTATTTCCTTCTTCAACGTTTTTTTTTTAAATTTTGTTTATATTTTAAATTTATTACCTCCTTTCTCTAGAGTAGTCTTTTTTTTCTTTTGTCGAAACCGTAGTTTTATATATCATCGTAAAAACTTTACAGTATCTGGACAAAGATCCAAGCAAAAGGGACAACAGTCCCACATCATCTAATCCAGATGTTAAGAGTATAAGTGCTCAGCTTAATACTATTGAATTTCCCTGTGTTAGCAAAAGAGAAAGAGCACAGATGAAATAAATTACAAATGGACTGAATATTCTCAATTAGGACTGAATATCCTCAATTAGTCTAGAGTAGTCTAAACTATGCAAACATGATGTTTAACTAATATTAGTATGCGACTTACACAAAATTTTAATGCGAAAGCTATAGAAAACATATTATTATGAAAATAAATTAGCATGAATAAATATATGAGTTTCTGTTTTTTTTTTGGGTAAGAAAGAGGAATTAATTAATTAATAAGTAGCGATTACAAAACAAGGCAAACTGAGTTCTCTGCAATCATCCTCTAGGAGTTTCGAAATACAATTAGGGGCCAAAGAAAAATCTGCCATTTTTGCCAAAAAATCTGCGTTCTATACCCAAATACAGAACCACACACGCACTCATCAAATGTAGAACAGCAGAAGACCAGAAGTCTGCAACACTAGCCTCCAAGGTAAACTAACAATAATAATAATACCCCCAAAAAAAATTTTCCTTGCTCGTCCAAGGTAAACTAAAGTAGCATTGATCACCAACACTCAACAGATCTTTTAACCTTATCGAAGAGTAAAACAGCCTCATTGACATTTCGTGAAAATTATCCTTATCATTCAGCAATGGTCAGAAAAGATACATCTGTTTCCAAATTGAGTGTCAATTGCTTCTTGCTAAATAAATCTCCTAAAACTCACACATTGGATGTAACTAGAAACTATTAAAAAGTATGTCTGGGTGAAAATCCCGTGATCTCAAGCCTTCAAGTGTGGCCCTTGAAATTTTCTTCCTCCAAATTCCCAACAGATGAGATATTACATCCCTACTCAAATAACTACATGTTTAAACATCAACATACTTCGAACTCTACTGGACATATGCTGATTCTCAAAGACTTGACGAACAACTTGGCAGCACTAGTTTTATAATGAAGATTTCCACCCAAGGTTATTACTGTCCATCTAAGGTGCCAAGAGCCTCCTTTAGAAGTCTCTGTGCTTCTTCCCTCCTCCTGAACAAGCAAAAGAAAATAAAATCAGGCAAGCACAGCACGTTCCACAGGAAGCAATCTTATCTTACACACGAACCACAAGACACCATCTGCAGCTTATGTAGATATCCTTGAACTACAAATTGGTTAGTGCACATATCGCTAAGTGAGTAGAATAACTGTACGGTACTTAAATTACAAAAGAGACCAAAAGATGTTTTAACTCATCTAACATAGTAATGCCTCCATGAGTTATCGGAAATGGGCAATGCATGAACAGAATGTGCATCATCTCAACTTAATGTACTATCAGCTAGTTTAAGCATTGTAATAAAGCTACGATGTTGCAAACTAAAAAAGGGGTACAAGTTTCCCTTTATCGCAATAGAAATCTAAACAAATCAGTGTCTGAATGTTATTTGCTGCAAAAAAAAAAGGGCTGTAAAATGAAATGACAGCTATAACATCACATAACACTTTGACTGATATTGAAAGCACAACCAAGAGGACACGAATAAAATAAATTACTGACATCTTTTTTTTTTTTTGGTTATTCTGAAAGAATTATAGGGGAAAAGAAAAGCATTCTCAAGTTCAGTAGACAACAGGGTCCCAGATGATCCCAGACACCACAGTTGATTCTCAAGTTCAGTAAAAGAAAAGCATTCTCAAGCATTTGAGCAAAAACAAGCCAAAAGACTTCATTCATTAGAAATCTTGTAAAATATTCATACTTAAAGAGACTATGCGTACCTCTTGATGTCCTCAACAGCTTGCTTACGCCGCTGTATCTGAAGTTCCAGAATATGGATCAGTGTTGCTCTGGCCTGAGAAGCAGGAAGGACCCAGCTTGCAATTAAAATCAGGAATTGGTAGACAACTGTCAAAAAAGGAACCCGAAGAAAAGGGATGAAGTATCACTAAAACATAATTTCACCTGATGGGGTCGCAGTGAATTGAGAAGGTGATGCAGGTTCTTGAATATGAGAGAGATATCTTCAACTCTCCTAGCATATTGTGATGGCCGCTCTATGAGAATATCAGCAAGCTCCAATATGTGCAGTTGGAGTTCTCTGTTAAGCGCCCTCAGTTCCTTTTTGAAGTCTGCCAGAAATCACCATCGGCTTAGATACTGAAACAACAAAAAATTGGCTGCTAAAGAATTAAAACACATCGTCCCAGACTAGGATTGTTTCCAACACATTGTACCAGACAGAACATTATTCATGCCCCCCCCCCAAAAAAAAAAAAATTGTGTTTTGTAGTGCATAAATTGGCACCTTATGCCAGACTAGGATTGTTTCCAACACATTGTACCAGACAGAACATTATTCATGCCCCCCCCCCCCCCCAACAAAAAAAATTGTGTTTTGTAGTGCATAAATTGGCACCTTATGGTGCATCAACATGCTAATGAAAATGGAAATATGACTCCTAGATACAAATTCACCAATTAAGATCAATATCAAAGACCTTTAATCTACCAAGGAACACATTTGAATTCTTTTTCCTCCAGCTCAGTCAGTAAAGACACCCAATAAGATTCCCCTTGTTACTAAACTGGAGTCAAAACTCTCAGATCACTATGTAAAGGGACATTTGCAAAGCAATTTTCAATTTTAAGTACCTTGAAGAAGCTAAGCCACGAAATAACCTCTAATGAACCTTTTTTTAAAAATAAAAAAGGGGCACTCCGAACAGCACATTTTTCCTATTTCGATTAGAGCATTCTGATTTCAGGCACGCCAATTATTCAAAGATCCAAAGGCATCAAAAAAATATACACTATGAACAACTAAACCCAAATATGAAAAGAACAACATAAACATAAACTAAACCCAAATAAGAAATAGACATGCCATAAGAAAAAAGACAAAAAAGATTAAAAATCTGATATCTGTACAAAGTAAACATGATTAAAGCATACTTTTCAAATCATGCCATGTTAAAGTGGCAAGCAAAAGAGAAACCATATAATGAACAATGACATCCAACCTCTCTACTATTTAAAAAAAAAATGCAGATAATAAAGGAAGCAGGTCGTACCAACATTCGGCCCTTTTGGGTACAATTGACGAACACCTTGTTCCTCCAGACTAGGAAGCACGTCATCAGTCTGCAAAAATAGGGAAGGAGAACTTGAAACGTGCATTTTGCAGCTAATTTTATCCACAGAAGCACAGAATATACAACATTCAAACAAAAAATGCAGCAGGAAGGAGGAAGGAAAAGTTAGAAAGCTAGAGAGGATAGAAATTTCTGTAATTATTCAAGGAAAAGAAAAACGAAAAATAAATTGCTCACAGTATAGGTGGCTCCAAACAGTTGGTAATTGCCTTCAATAGGGGGAGGAGGCTCCGGAGCAGATTTTGAATCCTCCGAATACTTCTTGTACAGCCTGTAGAACGGCGGCGGGGGTGGATACGTCGCCGTCGCCATTTTTTCCGATTCACGACTCTTTCTAGTTTCTTCCCTCCTCTACGTTTACTTTAACTTCTTCCTTTTTTTATTTTCTTGAAGTAGTAAATTAACTAAAAACTTTTGTACTCCTATTACAATAAAAAGAAAAGAAAAATCACTGACTCCAGAGTGGCAAGCGGCAACAGGACAAACCGCCATCCCAAATCCAAACTGTTGGGGGCAAAAGAGTGTTGTTTTAGGCTAACCTAATACAATATTTTTATATTTTAATATATTCAGATCGTTTGATAATAAAAAAAATTAAATATTTAAATTAATTAAATAGTTTCTAGATAAAATTTATTTTCAAAATTAAGTGATAAATCATTCACTTATTAACGGATGTGATATGTAATCAAATATATTAAATTTAATACTTAACAATTCAATAATTTAATGGATTTAGAATTCAAATTTCAGATTTTAAACTTCAGTTTTCAGATTTTAATTTTATTAAACTTACTAATCTTAACAAAATTCTTTTGATCCTCCAATTTTACAAAGGAGCATTAAAATTAATCCTACTGTTAAAGAATGTAGTCTTAATGCTAAAAATTAGCAAGCCATGTCATAAATTTTAACACCATATAGCTAAATCAAAGTCAATTATTTTTAGGTAGATAAAAGGATTGCTTAAAATTTTCTAATTCAAGTAAATCAAAGGATTGCTTAAAATTTTCTAATTCAATTATTTTTAGGTAGATAAAAGGATTGCTTAAAATTTTCTAATTCAAGTAAAATATGAATCTTCTTGTTACTACTATGACATACAAATAATACAATTTTGTGAACTTATAAAATATTTTTGGAGAATATTCCTTAATACAATTTTTAATTATATTCTTATCTCAAATATATCACATTTCGAAAAGGATTATACTCCCATTTTAAAAAATAATAATAATCTCAAAAAACACAATCCAGACCAACTCTTAATTTCTTTTATATGTATTTTTTTTTTTAGAATTTGATTAATCGACTCAAAAATAGCCTTATTCACTCCATCTCTTCCTAAGGAAAAGGCAATAATTTGAGCCAATACATCGATTTCTTTTTCTTTTTTTTTTTCTCTCCATAAAATTCTTTGATCTTCAAAATGTAATTCTTGAGTACGTGAGAGCTAACTAAATATTTGCCATTACTCAAGGGCCTAGCACAAAAATATCGCAAACCAAAAGTAAATGCGGTTTGGGCGGCCAAATTTTGCAGTTTTTTGGCAAGTCAGAGGAGAGGAAGGGAGAGACGTCCAAAAGCAAACAGCAAATGATGACCATAAATATAAACAACGTACTAACAAGATGGGCCTTTTCCCCTCAAATCAGGGAATAGCTTAGAGAATTTTGCTAATGCCACTGCTCAATCAAGCTTGCAGGTGTATTCGTATGCTTTCCAATGATGATTTAGATATTATCATTTCCATGTGCACTCATTACCCATCAAATGTTCTTGTGTTTTTTCGACGTTGACATGACGAATTATGTTCATTCCACATTTTTTCATGGGATCTTGTGGAATCCCATTACTTGATTTTGAGAATGCAAAGAACCCATTTTGTAGTATTTCTTCTTTGATCTGAATCTGTGGCAAACGGGCTAAGAAATTGAAGGTAATTTGAGTATCTCATTCTGTTCCAGCATATTCTTCTGACAATTGTCTTCTGGAGTCTTACGCGTTTTGATGTTGCGGATAAAGCATTTTATATTCTTGTACTTACATGTTTCTTTCTAAGTATTGCTACAACACGGTTCTTTGCAAATGATAAGTTATTTTATCATGATTTATACGTTTATTTGCGACTTATAAAGTTTGTCATTTTGGGATGACCAATTTGAATCTTTTTTCTTGAATAATAGCTCTATTGGTTGTTATTCTTACTGTAAGGCGTTTAAATTAGAAATTCTGGTGTCTAGCTTTGATTACCTCTGGACTACGCGTTACCTGGAAAGATTCCCACTTAATGTGATAATTGCATACTCTTTGTGCATCAAAATTGTTAGTTTCATCAGGTGAGCTTCATAATGATGTGTTGTAAGTATGATTAAAATTAGTCTGCACTCTGAAGGATGTGGTTTTTTTAGCTGAAATCTAGATTAGGAAGATCATAGAAGTTTGAATTTTTTTTTTCTTTTACCCTTATTTGCTCGTGTATTATTACTTAATTTGAGCTCTTTTCTATGTGCGGATTTGTCTCTCCCACCCTTAGTTATATGGAGATACAGAGAGTTTCAGAATCTATATTTTATTTTGTTATGTAGTCCTTGCATTGGAATTAAGTATCAATAGATCAAGTTATAGCTTCAGAGAATCTTTTATCTTAGGCATGACATAGGTCACAGATATTGAGTAATTATTTTGCTTTTAGCTACTAAGATCCTTTTAGCATTTGGGTCTTATCCATGTTAACATCATTATTCATTATGTTTTACAAGGATGGTATTTGTTCACAGTTTTTCCATTCATGTCGTGAAAATCTTGATGAGTTTCATTTGAATATGATATATGACATACCGTATTATTCAAGTCTTGTTAATTTTTAATGCCTTTGGATGTTTTGCATGCAGTTTGAACCATGGATCCACCTGCAAGTGATGATGAAGTCAAACCAGAAAACCTTGAAGAGGCAAAAGAGGGGGGTCCTTTGTTTCACTGTGATCTTCTTGATACCGAAATAGTTCACAAGATAGCACAAGCATTGCTTCCTGGATTAGCCTCCGCCTGTGTTGACAACACAACGGGAGGTCTCTTTAGGACCCCCGCATCAGTGGCTGTTGATATTAGAAGGGACATGGTGGACTATCTGTTTCAAAGAAGTGAAAATTTTGTGGCAGAATCTGTGGTCCTGCAAGGTGGTCCAGATGCTGAAGTGTCTGACCACCCTTACGATATTATCTCAGAATTTATTGATGATTTTGTAAGTTCAAAAAGGAACTTTTTTAGCCGGGTGTCTGGATGGTTGCTCAGTGAGAGGAGAGAAGATAGGATAGATGATTTTGTGCAAGAAATGGAACTGAATGGGTTTTGGCTGATGGGGAGGAGGGAGGCAGTTGCGCAAACGTTGGTTAAGAATGTTGATGTCAAAAACACGTTCCACTGTGATATGAAATTTAAGTCTCCAGAAGAGCTTGCTGAGCATTTTTGCAATTGCCGTTTCAGGGATATGGACTGCATGAATGAGGGGTGTAATTCCAGATTCAGTGCAGGTCAAGCAGATTACCATGACTCAGTTTGTCCTTTCAAAATACTTCCATGTGAGCAGAAGTGCTCAGCAAACATCATGAGGCGAGACATGGACCGGCACTGTATAACTGTCTGCCCAATGAAACTTGCAAAGTGTCCATTCTACACAGTAGGTTGTCAGTTCACTGTTCCTCAGTCTACAATTGATCAACATCGTTCCGATTACCTCAATTCTCATTTGTTCTACATTCTCCAACCTGTTTATAAAGAAGCATCAGTAGAGGATCTAAACAGAAGGGTGGACCAACTGGAGACGGTGAGTTTGAGGCTTATTTGATAATTAAGTGGGTTAATTTTGCTATTCTTGGTTTGTTGTTTAAACTCATTCCATGGAAATACTATTTGACAGATGCTTAACTAAACTTTGGCAGACCAAAATTCTTTTGCAGAAATACTGCATGTAATGAGCTTTTCAACCAGTCTTAAATGGTTAGAAGATATCTATTTTTATGTCTGTTAATACTAAGCCTGTGGCTGAAGATTAGTTGACGTGGAAATATCTGGAAGGAAACTAGCCAGAAAACTATGTCTGCATTGGTTTCTCTGCCAATGATCTCTCCAATGTTCATTGTGGTTTTTAAGCTCTTTGCCTCTTCCAAGACACCCATTTCAAGTGCAAGGCAGTGCCTGGATCCTTTAGGAACGAGGTCTAAAATGTTGATGACACTAGAATGCTCTTTGTCCAGCTACTTTCGCTGGTGCATGGGTTTGTTAGTGATAGGAGAAACTGAAGTCAATAGGTAAGTGCTAACAAAGTTAGCAAGTTCACATGATAGTGCATTCAGAAGATAAGCAATGACAGACTTTTGGTGCAGTGACAAGCCACTATAATTTAATTCTTTCTATCTTTTTTTTTTCATTTTGGGTGAGTCAATTCGGTCCCTTGTTGCCCTAAATTGAAATGAAATTGGCTGGTTTACATTCTAATTAGACAGTCATATCTGAGCTTGGAATGATCCCTGATTTATTTTGCATACCAGATATCATCTAGTAGGCGACTGGCAGCAGCTCGTGATCCAAGATCTTTAACATATCTAATCAGGGATCTTGAAGCAAAGCTGGGGCCTCTGCAAATTTCTTCAAAGGCCAAGGATTGTGAAGAAGGTGAAGAATTAAATGGCAAAAAGGAGGAATCCCCAAAAAAAGAGGAGTACATCAATCCACCAAAGGGAAAGGATGAGGGCTTAGAGTCACCCACTAAACATATTCAATGCATGGATCCATCACCCGAAAAAAGTGCAGCATCATCCCCCAAACACCAAGAGATTGGAAATGTGCTTGATGAAAAAGAAGAGCTGACTGGATCTTCCACACTAGAGGACAAGTGCCTAGAACCACCCATCGAAAGAGAGATCCTCAAGGAACAACCTGCTGGGAAAGAAGAAGAAAAAGAAGCAACTATGCCTAAAGTAGTGCATGTGGAGTCACCGACCAAGGGCAATTGATGTATCTAATCAACTTGCCAAGTAAGAATAGTGTACAGAATCACCCAAAGAAGATCACGTAGCAATTATCTTTTGTGACAGAATGTGCAACTGGAGCTAGATGTCAGTCAGCTAAGGAGAAAAGGGACGCTGGATCTTAAGTTTGAAAATCCGCAGACTGAAACAAGTCACAACTAATATCGGACCTAGCAATTTTTGTGTATTAATCATGAGAAATTACCTTAAAGAAATTTCAATCGTTAACGTAGATAACATGTTGGTTTGTCTCAATTTCTTCGTTCTTTGTATGCTGCTCTTTTGCGGCCTTTTACACATCCCTCTTTTTCTCTTTTTTGTTCCCAAGTCACTTCTTCTGTGCCTGGTGAAATGCTTTTGTCTTGAACAATGTTTACTTCATATGATTAATGGAGTCAAGTTCTTGCTACCTCATGTTTTCTCGGTGTTCCTGTGGATATTTGTCAGGGACTGCAATCCCTTGAGAATCAATTTAAGCTCCTTTTTCTTTATATTTTCTGTCTTGATGAAGCAAATGATAGAATGTGGACTGAACTAAAAGATGATGCCATCACTTTGAAGAGCCTAGAAAGGTTTCAATCTTTCAATGTACATGATGCAATTGGCTAAAGAGGCAACGCAGTGAATTTCTGGAGAGGAATCTTTTGTTTGTCAACTTCTTTATGGGACAACCCCTCCTACCCACTACCCGTGTTTTGGTTTCAATGTGGGAATAATAATAATAAGAGACAGAGATACGATTTTGCGCCTTTTCCTGACTATTTGGCTGCTAGTTTTCTTTTTAGATCAATATGTCTTAGTTTGAGGGTTGGTTGACAATGTCAAATCTTTTGCCTCACTGGAGATGATCCTCAAGTATCTCAGCTATAAAATGTAGAGCAGCAGATTGGATCATGGATAATGCTCGATTAGAACGAGAAAAAGGGGGGGGGGGGGTGGTTGCAGTTATAGCCAAGCAAGAGATGTTTGGCGGAAGAGTTTCAAGAAATCAGTCATCTCAATTTCTTTGAAATAATTGGAAGAAAAAAGTCATGTAAAACAAGCCAATTGGACCTTCCAGACAATCATTACAATCCAAAGCTTGCAGTAAAGTTCTGCCGAAATTACAATTACTAGTTAAGGATTAACCCTGGAAGAGAATGATCAAGATTGTTATATGCTGGCAGCTTCGAGCGAGCCAAAGAGAAGCAGAAAAATTGATCATCCAGAAAATGAGGACAGAAGAATGGAGCTTTACAAAACATGGTTAACTGGGAATATAAGACCCTATAGAATGCCAAATGGCCATCTAATTTTGGGATCTGGAACCGCACGCTAATATTGCAGCCTCAATCTGCCACACACAAGTGGAGGGATGCGACTTTGCTACGTTGCAGACTGCACGGAATAATTTCGAACCATTGGACGTGCCAATGCATATTTGAACTTCAAGCATCTTCATCGATCGCTAAACACTTGTATGCATTCTACTCAAGACCTCCAAGATTTCAGTTGCAATTTTGCACAAAGGTCGATTTAAATGTCATGCAATAGCTAGCATTTTGATGACACAAAGGACAACTAGAAGTAAAACCAGCTCTGGTTCTGAATTGCTATTCCTTCTGCCAAAGCTACAAAACACATAACAGCACTTTGCTAGTTACTTACTGTCAGCTATGATCTCAAGGCCAATATCCTCTCAAGTCAGACAACTTTAAACCGGCAAATGCAGTTGTTTTATGTCTCATCTGCTTGTCTATAACCACGCATCTCTACTATTTTAATCACACTGTCGTAGCAAACGATGTTTAGCTTCACAAGCCCACAAAACGTTTCCGCACATGAAATGATAACTGATCATGCTCCATATAGTTTCTGAAATTCTAATTGACAAGGGCTCTGAACTTCGTCCTGCTGTGTTGTGTTAGAATTAATTATTCCTTTGCATTCAGCATTGCTTCCATCGATGCTTTGTTAGTACCTAAATGGTTTCTCTCTACCACGCAATCACTTTGTAATGCTTCTGAAGCATCCTCACTGTATAAATGACAGACTTCAGATCATTTTTAACAAAGCAGACTTCTGCAAATCTAACAGTCACATTTAGTTAGTTTCCCCATAGAGAATCTGAATATTAGTAGTATTAGCTGGCCATGGAGGGTTTATTTAGGTTCCATCTTTTTTCTACTAGTGGTAGTAACCTTAATAGAACTTAAAGTCCATGCAGATTCTCCGCCACCTCCAATTGATCAAAATGTACCAATATCACCAGCTCCACCAAGTAACTTAACTCCCCCACCACCACCGAGTAACTTCACGCCTCCACCACCTGGTGAGTTTCCTCCTCCTCCCCCCCCCCCCGGGGGGTTAACTTCGCCCCTCCACCACCTGGCAACTTCACTCCACCGCCATCTGTTGACTTACCTTCTCCTCCACCAGGAAACTTCAGTCCACCTCCCCCAAATAACTCTACTCCACCTCCACCAGGTGACATAAGTCCATCAGCGCCAGCACCACCAGCATCAGAAAGCTCCTCAGAAGGACTAACTGGTGGACAGAAGGCGGGAACAGTAATAGGAGTTTTTGCTGCTGTTGGTGTAATAGGGTGTGCAGCCAGGGTGTGTCGAAGTCGTCGAAGTTATACGAGGAAGTCGCGGTTTGGCTATGAAGCAAGGAGAAATCACCTCTGATCTGAGACTTAATTACGACAAACAAAAGATTTCTCATGCAAGATACTTTGCACTTAAATATATTCATGTTGAAGCTGATTTCTAAAAGTAAAATAAGAATGCTACATAGAATACCTTATCTACAAGTCATAGATGCTTTCTACTACAAGTCATTAGAGAAAAAACGACATGCATAATCTAAATAACCCAGAACCAAAATTGTTTGATTAGATGTAATGAAAATTTGTTCGATTTGCATATGAAATGTGTTTTTTCGTGGAATTTTTTGTTTTTCCAAATAAGTTTAAAAGGCAACGATTACGGCCTCTTGCATTGAGAATCAAAACTCACTTTTTGATCTCTAGAATCCTATCTATCATGATGGGACTATAAACTATTCACAGAGGAAAGTTTACAAACCTAAAGCTGTTGGAGGCACCAATTTGCGCGCTTCACCAAAGAAGTTAAAAGAAAAAAACCAATTCAATAAGGAGAGGTATTGATATAAGTTCGCTTTAAAAGAAAAAAAAAAGTGATTGAAAATCATGATCTCTAAAGATAAACATGAAAATTTTTAAAATTAAGGAGATAAATTATTAATTAGTTTCATGATTTGAGTCATCATATAAGTTAGAGTAAGATTTTGCTATTTATGTATACTTTCTTACCAACTGATAAAACTAAATTAAGGTAGATTCTATCTTAATAGAGAAGGTAAATTTTCAACATCCTGTTGAAAAATAAAAAAGAAAGAAAGAAGTAAATCTTGAATCCCTCACAATCACATTTAGTACTTAGTACATAAAACCTTTCACAAATTTGATTGGAGTTTTTATTTATGCCAAAACTTTCACAAATATGAGTGGATTTTTTTTTTTTTTTGGCACGGTAACATATTAGATAAGTTTTGTTTAATTTCGTTAATTATGATTTTTTTTATGTGTTTGCAAAGAGGAGAGATCGTTGAACTTGATTAGGGGGCCAAAATATTAGTGAAAAGAATCAAACAAACACATTAAAAATGGTCGAATAATTACATACAAACCTCGGATTTGTTAATTTTTGAAATAAGGAAGAAGTTGTCGTAATTAAGGTTGTACTTTTACTTGTCTAAGGAAACTGGTGTGTCACGTAATTGACTCTTTTACAAGGATCCACCCGACTTTTTGGAGTTCAGAACTTCCCCAAAACACATAGGACGTGCGTTCCGGAACAAAAATAAACTCAAGGGCCGTGGTCAGAGTTTAGTAGTGATAAAGTCATAATCTTTGCTACTACTGGATAGATTGATTCATTGTCCTAACTCCCCGTTTCCGCAGCAGGTAAAACAACTTCCCCCCTGCTTCTCCATTTCCATCTCCTTCTCCCTCCCAAATCTTTAACTGCTCGGCGCTTCTTCTTGCTTTCTTCCCTGCTAGATATTTTGGGTCTCTTTTTTTTTTTCCTGGACAGTAGAAGTACCTAATAGTAATTAAGATAGATCGAGATTGTTTTGCTTGGTTTATGATCTGATTCGGTAAGTTTTGGATCTGGATTAAAGGGTTCTTTAAACTTATTTGATGTAGTTGTGTGGCAAAAGAATTTAGTGTCTTGTGGCTTTGAACCTTCATTCTCCTTGATGGTTGTTTAGATAAAGAATTCCCCTTTTTTTTGGGTTCGAGTATTTTTTGAACTGATGAATTTAGGATTATGTTTGTTTGAAGTTAATGAAAAATTTTTGGACTGATGGGTTCTGCTAGAATCTCTCCATCATGTTGAATTGTTTTCTTGGTTGGTCATTTGTCAACCGGATTTGAATTTTTGCTACTGGACATGGTCTGAATACAAGTTTGGAATAGAATAGTTCATTTTGGAGATGTAAAGATGAAATCTTTTTCATGGTTGATTGATAAGTTGTGTGAACTGATCTTTGTAATGTTCTGCTGATCGTTAGGTTGGTTTACTTAATTGGATCTAGTTTACTAGTTTTCAGAAGTTTACCGTGCAAAAATCAATTTAGAGAATAAGGTATTTTACTGATCAGTGGGTTAAATATTGGTTACATCTTGTTAAAATGGTCTCTTTCTTAGATTTCCTTTCTGCTATATGCCTTTTGGCTCCTATAGGACTAGTGGCCGTAGGTTGCATGTGAAACAAAAGATCAACTAGGTCAACCTTGTCCAGATACCACTTTGATGCTGTTTAGCTGATTGGCTGGAGTATGGTAAGAATGTAGTTATCATCTCTGTGAAAAAGATAAGCTGTTTTTGATCCTGCTGATGAGCAAGTGGAAATGAGGATACATACTTGAGTACTTGAATGTTCAATGTCTTGCTTAGGCTGAATGCACTCATAGTCATAGGTGGTTGTTTGTCTACCAGATTTGCTACTGAACGTTGTCTAAATAGTTTTATTGAAGATGTAAGGATGAGATTTTTATCATTGATTTGATTGATAAGTGGCTTTAATGGACTGGTCTTTGTGATGTTGTGATTAGAAGCTTGATAAGAGTTTGATTCAGACAGCACATCTTGAAGCCGGATAATTGTATTTGGTATTTGGAACATGATATATGAACTCGCAGACATTTGTTGGATTCTATAGTGTGGTCAAATAACTGTTGCTTACCAAAAGTAAATGCTGTCTGTCTGTTAGAATCAAATACTGTGTGTACTGTGTAATTCAGCAATCAAGTGTCACAATCAATTTGTTCCGTGAAGCAATTGTATGGCTTTTGCAAGTGTCATATTTGGTCTCTTTAGTTACTTTTTCAATCAATTCAGTTGCTTTCGTCTATCTCTGCAAGTATGGATGCCAACAGAGGCCAGAATGGAATTCAACTGTTATTAGCGGCAGAACAGGAAGCTCAACACATTGTCAATGCTGCTAGAGCTGGTAATACTTTTTGCTTATATTTGAATTTTTTTAATTGTTTTTGCACCTGTAATTACGTGGTATAGACTACATTTGGGTGGTAAACTAAAGAACTTGTGCTCCTTGGGGTGGGGATCCAGTTTATAGATTGAAATAAGAGGCTGAGGAATGCTTTATTGTTCTCCAACTTTTCAATTTCTGGTTGTTTATTTTCTGTTTAGAGATATTATGTAGAGTTAGAAAGTGACGATTACTGTTCAGCTGTATGGTTGAACTGCAAGTGAAATTAATAATACTAAACAAGCATTGCGCATTATGAGGACTAGAAACCCTCTTAGTCTTAGAGTTGGATAATTTGAGGAGAATGGTTGAAAAAGGATGATCTATGATATGTGGGTTGGTAAACTATTCATAAAGAATTAATTGTGTTTGAGACTGGACTTGTCCCAATAGTTATGTAGCGTAGGTATATGAAGCTTTCTCTTTCAATTTTGACAAGGACAAGTCAAACTTAATTACCCGCTGCACATAACTCAGAATTTGGACCTCGAAATTTGATCTGGCTTAGTACATAATATTTTGCCAACAACTTATTGTCACCTTTTGATCCAACTGGTTTACTACAGACTGTGCATCCTGCAAATGACATTGGTTTCATGCTGGGGTTGGATTTTGTCCTTCTGGTTTAAAGTTCCACCCAAAGAATCAGGTTTCAGGAAATCTAGAGAATCTCATCACGTTATTTTTTTGTATCTGTATAACTAGAAGTTGTTGCTGTTGCTATCTGCCTTTGTGATTTCATGTAACTCCATGAGCTAAGAACTTCACGTTGCAAAAGATCTTGATTATTCATGGACAAATTTAGTGTTGCATATGTCAATGTTGCAGGGTCAAATTATCTGCAATTAATTAACAGGTTAGTTTTGTTGTTTTTATTGTTCAGCAAAACAGGCTAGACTAAAACAGGCCAAGGAAGAAGCTGAGAAGGAAATTGCGGAATTCCGTGCACAAATGGAAGCTGAGTTTCAGAGAAAGGTTGCACAGGTAAAAGTTGGGGGAGAAAAGGACTGTAATTGAAACTTTATAGAATGCTATGGGGGTCAAATCACATGAATGCTTAGTGGTTTAAATTATTTGCACTCTGGTTGAAATTGATATATTAACACTATACTTGTATTTCTTTTTCAAGTACTCTGACATACAAAGTAATGATCCAAGCACTTGTGAAGTCTTACTGCTAAGAAATCTTGCTTCTGTTTGAGTTCTCCCTATGATATGTTGTTTTGAAATCTATTTCTTGTTTTTCTACCTCTTAGATAAACTACTTATAAGATTCTATATTGGTGCTATCAAACAGACTAGTGGAGACTCAGGTGCTAATGTGAAACGACTTGAACAAGAAACGGAGGCAAAGATCCATCACCTAAAGAATGAATCTTCCAGAATTTCCCATGATGTTGTTCAGCTGCTTCTGAGGCACGTGACTTCTGTAAAGATTTAAGTTCTTGGTAGCTCATGGGTTTTACTGAAGGCTTTTTCGTCATTTTTTATGGATGTTGTGCTTAGTCAATCAAACGCTTGGTGTCTACTTGTACGTTAGTAATTTATTACCTGTATTTGTTGATTGTGGCCTCTTACCAAATAAAAATGTGATGTTCCTATGGCTATTTGTATCAGTATTTGTTACTTTTGAGGATATACATCAAACAATTGAGTCCAATCAGTTATTGATTTCCTCCAGATCAACTATGCAATCTCTTATTGGTGACATCCTTTGCCAGTAAATGAATAAGTTATTTGGGAGGAAAGAAGAATGATATTTCTGCTTGTTATTATTTTGAAAAAATTGAATAAACCCTTTTGAGAGAGTCAGTTGTTATATGTGTTTCTACTTTAAAGGGCGTGCTATTTTTGCTTGAAATGTTCTGTTAATACTAAATTGTTGTAGCAATGAGTGGTTGTGTGAAAAATCCATGTAGTTTTAAGATATTGACTCCTTTAAATTGACTAAAGACATTTCTGGCTTTTAGATCATGAATCACCGTTTACTATCTGGCATAATATAGCTGTTATGGTACGCCTGTATAAATCAGCATGTTTCTAATGCATTCCGTGTTTACTGGTTTCCCGTTTGTCTCATTGCCCGTCGAGTGTATATAGCAGGGCTTGCAGTTTATCACTATTGTACTGTATATAGGTTTTTTAACAGACTGGTTACAATAACCAGTTGGATCAAGATAAATGCCTCGAAGGTTGTAAGAAAGAAAAAGAAAAAGAAATCAACTAGTAAAATATGCTGTGTTGTTAGTACTGTTCTAGGATTGCAAGATTGACAGATCTTGAAATATTTGCTCTATCAATATTGCACCAGCCAATATTCCTACACAGATAAGTGTTGGCCTGAATCTGGGTCCTGCTATGTGGTCACTGCCTTCACCATTTTTGGAAAGCACGGCCCAAGCCATTGCAGGTGGAAAAACTCCATAGAGCATTGTCATGCAGTAGCCTCCCTGTTCCATATTATTAGCAACTGTTGTATCAGAAAATGATATTGTCACAGAAACAAATGTGAGGATCATACTAGGCGTAATTTGTGGGTTTTACTAACACCAGAAATCCCATCTTGAGAAATTTAGAAAGCAGTAGAAGGAAGGATAAAATGGAGCAGTGGCTTCAGCTGTGAGTTTGTAACATTGAAGACAACAGAACGGAACTTACAGCAATATCTGTTGCAGCAGAAAATGCATCTGGAACTGTTGTTGAAACAAAAAGGGATGGAACAACAACCATTGCTGTCGCCGTGAAGCTTATTTTCTTACTCGTCCACCATTCCATTAAACCAAAGTCTGAATTTGATCTCTCCTGGAGGTATAAACTATATAGCTGATTAGCTTTCAGACTTCTCTGATAAGAGAATCTGAATGGTAATAATGCTAACACAGCATATATAGTGCAGAAAGATAACTACCTTGAGTTTTCGGGTCATGGGTGAGAAGGTTAACAGGCTATTAAGCTGCTCTTTGAAAAATTCTGAAAAGCTAAGAAGGGTGCCAATAAGTGAAGTTCCAATAGCCAGAAGTGAGAAGGCCTCAAACCATAAATGACACCCCTCCCCAGCTTACTCTCTATCAAAACAGTATGTTAGTAGCTTGAGGATTCTAGACGTTCATAATCGAGTATGAAGTTGAAACTAATCCCACAAGAGTCGTGGGATTCATTTGCAAAAAAATAGGTTATAAGAGTTTGGGATAGCAGTTGTTATATCATCCTATTGGATAGTCAATGAACACGTCCAAAAATTGAATGACCTCATAAGAAGTTCAACAGGATCAGCAACTTGATCAACCTGCTCTGACAGCCCAAGTGCTATAGCATCCCAAATAAGCAAAGCTAGTAAAGGGACAATACTGCCAAGCAAAACTGAAGCCCTGATGCGTGAAAGGTCCCCTCCCAGATAAGAACAAAGAACTGCAAAAGAATCCATCCATAAACCAGGAGGCATAGCAATCAACTGTTTGCAATTCTTAGACAAGAACAGGAAACCTTTAATATGTACCAGGAGCAAGGTCATGATAAACCAACGAAAATATGATTACTGGAATGGTTGCCGGAACTTTTTCCCAGTTATCACTCCCTCCAAATCCTGACCACCCACCGAAGGCAACAGCTAAAACCTCAATTGCCACCAGCAGGCCTGATCAACTCTCACGTTGTTAGCAAGCATTCAGCTAAATACTCGGAACTTGAAATTCTCAAATCTCTTCCAGAATAAAAGATGACCCCACTAATGATAATTTAACAACTTGCAAGCTACAAAAATTTCGGCACAAAATTTACCTATCATGGCAATAGTGAGCCATTGATTCACTTGATCAGTGGCTTGTGTCCCACCCACGAAGATGAGTGTGGTGAAGAAGGCAGTGAAGAAGATGCCTGAAATTGATTCTGGAAGATCAATCAAATGGTTAAGGATCTCTCCTGACTTTGCTGTATAGGCGATCATAGAAGTATAACCCAAGAAAACATAGGTAACAGTAGCCAGAGCTCCACCCCATTCTCCCAGTGTCTCCTGAGCCATAGTCCTAATGGAGATGATCCCCCATTCATCCGCTTTTAATCTCATGCTTTTCTTCTTCAGCAGCCTCACATTGACTTCAACGAGCAATAATGCTTCTATTAATAGAAAAACCCAGCATACAGTCATAGATATTGAACTTGGAAAGAACCCCTGCAAATTGAACCACGAAATATAATCTCCTCATCTACCCAACTAATCAGTTTAACAATCTAGCATGAAACATGATTTATTTTAAAGATTCAAGCCAAAAGTAGTGAAGAGTGAAGACTAAAGAGAGAGCTTAAAAGTTACCGCAGGCGATGTTTTCTTTGGGAGGGCAAGAATTCCTGAACCAATACTGGTTCCAATAATCAGAGAAACAGCACCAGCAATACTGCCTTTTTTCTTGGAAATCTTGAGAGGCTCTTCCTGCAAATTTAAGGTGCATTTCCTCCTCCTGGTTGCTAAAAGTCTGAAACTTTGTGCTTGCCTTGCCCCTTCAAAGTGGCTGTAGAGCAGACAAAAAAATAATAATAATTAGGCACAATTTGCACCTAAGTAGGAAACACCCTTCAACCTTCATTCTGTCATTCAAAAAGAGGAAAATGATGAATCTTACATCCTGAATTTCAAGCATATTTGAGTGTTCTCTTGAGGACATATTGCCGCCCACAAGTAACCTGGTCTGCACTGAAGAATCATGGCAGCAGATAGCCAAGGATCCACCCAAGAGGGTGGCAGGAAGGACTCAGGAGGAGTATATGGACGTTGAGGACCTCAATCTGGAAAGCTAGTTCCCCAAGTATCTTGGAGAAAGAATGCCTACGTTAAAACTACTGTCACGTCACTGGAAAGCTAGGCTACGGAAGTTTTCAGCAGACACTAGTGGACCAAAGAGCTCTGGGACTATGCTAGATATTTACGTGCCACAGTTTCGATTATCAACCTGGAAGTCATTTGCAAACTCAGGCTAATTGATTAGAATATAGGTGAAAAAAAAAATATTCAGACACTTGTGGGTCTGACAGGGGTTCTGTATATATCTGTCAGCCCGGCACCTGACACCAAAAAAAAATTTTTTTTTTTTTTAAAGACACATGGGTCAGCCCGGCACCTGACAAAGACTGCAAAAGCTGGCTGCCGGGCAGAGAGTGCCCGGCAGCCAATCAAATTGTTAAAAAAAAAAAAATTCGGCCACATACTGTTTATAAGATGAATGCCGAGTAGATTAGCCATATTATTGGTTCATACCACCGTTATTGGAGCTTCTTAGAGGAAAGATGAGCTGGGTAGAGCAAAGGGTAGCTGTTAGAGCACTAGGACATTTGGCAAGCTATGAAACGACCTTCAAAGCTATAGCGCTTTATGAAGAAGAAGTGGTTAGATTAGCCATGCGTTTGGCTTCTACCTGTGTGAAAAGCTGGCTGCCGGCCTGTTTTTAAAAAAAAAATGCGGCAGAAGAATGCATTTCTGACAATATTCTTCCATTCCACGGAATTAAAGTGGAGGTAAAAATTAAACATTGGTTACATTTCTATGGTGGAAAGTTCACTTTCCTGCGCACAATAAGCAGAAGCAAAGCAGATGTAGAGATGCATAAAGAATAAAGAAGTATATTGGACACTCGAAAAATCAAATTATGCATGGATGAAAAATATTATATATATTAAAATTATAATAAAAGGCTGTTAAAAATTTATTCATTATTTAATATTCAATACTTATATTTGGTAAATTAAAATAATTAATTAAATATTCTATTATATTATAAGTAACTATATATCGTTAAGTCGATTGAATAATATGTAAGCAGTTATTTTATTTGGTATTTCAAGTAGTTGTCTATTAAGTTTTAATTGAAATAAAGATTTTATAATTATTTGAAATTATGCAATAAAAAAATCAATGTAAGATAAACATAAATGTAAGATGAACAAATAAATGTAAGATGAACAAATTGTATGATTGAAATATTTGATTTAATATGCAAGAAAGACAAGAAGAAATGGCAAGAAGTTTTTTAAAAATTAATGTGAGTTCTTTATATTGGTAATCACCTTTATTTGTTATTTTAATCATAATACCTGATTATAACCGATTATAATACCTAATACTATTTACAACTAAAGTTACTATATACTCAAACTAAAATTTTCTATTTCACTAAATTTTCTTTTATATATGATGCACGTTTCATCATTTGTTAAAACAAATTAAATGATAAAACAAATGATAAACAAATGATAAATTTTAACAAATAAATGTTTTCTGAAACCTAAACCCCAAACCCTAAAGAAGAATGCATTTCTGAAACCTAAACCCTGAAACCCTGAACCCTAAACCCTAAACCCTGAACCCTAGACTATACACAGCGTAGAAGTACAAAATAATGTAACCTTAAAGAAGGAACCCTAAAGAAGAATGCATTTCTAAAACCTAAACCCTAAAACCCTAAAAACATCCACGGAATTAAAGCGGAGAGAAGAATTAAACATAGGTTACATTTGTATGGTGGAAAGTTCACTTTTCTGCGCACAATAAGTAGGAGCAATGCAAATGTGGAGACGCACAGAGAAGTATATTGGGCACTGGAAAAAGCTGATTATGCATATATGAAAAATAGTATATATTTGAAAATTACAATAAAAGTCCTCTTAAAAATTTATTCATTATCTAATGTTCAATACTTATATTTGGTAAATTTAAA